ACGGGTATACGCTGACCGGTAGCTGTTACCAAATTAATGCGTTCTCGGTTGTATGCGGAGTCCCCAAGGACCTGACTTATAAGTTCGGAACTAACAACCGTACGAGAGGCTCCAGTGTCTATGGTCAGTTTACACGGCATTCCGTTGACCTCGCCCTTGATGATTAGACTGTTCCCATCATGGGTTTGTGAGATCGAGATCCTTGGGGCTCTTTTAACATCAGCCAGCACCCGCCCCGCAGTTCTGGCTTTTACTCGTTTCCCTGCTGCTGCTGGGCGGTGCTGTTGGCCGCACTACCCTCCTGGGATCGTTCACCTTCCCTTTCTAGGGTTCGCTTAGAGCAGCTGGATCGAAGATGGCCCTTTTCCCCACAGCCATAGCACCTTGGGCTGTATCCTTTGTTGCGGTCGCGAACTTTAGCTGCTGCAACCTCCCTGACGCGATGGGAACGATGATCCTGCCGCACGGCTTCCACTTCCAGTGCATGGGCCAAGGCGTCCTTAAGCGTCTCGTGGTGCCCGAGCCTCACAGCAGCTCTGACTTCCAGGTCGCGGATGCCGTCGATGAATGTCTGCACCAGGTTCCCTTCAATGAGCGCAGGTACAGACCGGTATGCTTTTCGCACCAGCTTCTCCACTTCTAGAGCCCACTGCTGCAGGTTTTCGTTGATGCGCTGCACACGATCTTTAAGCTGCGCACGAAAGACGTGTTCCAGGTGAGCGTCGCCATATCTCGCCTCCAATGCCTCAAGGAGTTGCTCATAAGTCACTTCCTCACCGAGAGCTTCCAGAACTGTTAAGGCCTGGTCACGCAGGCCTAGTGTGAGAGCAGTCATGGCCTGACTTTTATTCCAGCCGTTCGCCTTCATAACAGCTTCGAACTGGATTTTGTAGGCTGACCAGGAAGAAGTCCCGTCAAACGGTGGCACCTTGAACCCACGTAGCGAAGGTGCTGAAGCTACTACGGGAGCTGTGGTTCCATCCCCAAGTTTGAGTTCATCCAGCGTTTTCTTAACTTGGTTGATTTGGGTCTCAGCTTCCGACAGGCGGTTATCATGTTGAGCAACCTTATCCTTCACCTCCCTTATCTCTTTCCCGAAGGTAGCGTGAAGGTCCTTCATGAGAAGCATCTGTTCTTCCTGGCCGCCCCGCAGCTGCTCTTCCAACCGACGGACCTGTTCCTCCTGTCGGCGAGCCTGTTCCTCCTGTCGGCGAGCCTGTTCCTCCTGTCGGCGAGCCTGTTCCTCCTGTCGGCGAGCCTGTTCCTCCTGCTGCTCTTTCAACAGATGGGCCTGTTCCTCTCGTCCGCGCTGCAGCTGCTCCTGTAGCATCGCCATCAGAGCACCTAAGTCAGATGCTGCAGGTGTAAGAGCTACTGACGGGCCCGCAGTCTCCGTGGCTGGCAGTTGGCCCTCCGATGTCTGCGGCGTTGCACCACCAAATCTCCTCTGGTCCGTCTCATGCTGGCGTTGACTGCGGGTACGGACACCCTCCGTTTCCTCCTTAGGTAAAATCGGCATTATTTTATCCCACTTCTGACACCAATTGTTACGAGCTTAGGGTTCGTGACAATAAAAATTGCCGATAAAATTACCTAAATTAACACTTTAATTTACTTTACACAAATTAAAACTTAAAACACTAATGATTAAACACACTAATTCACTTAATTCCGCTCCGAAGCTTCGCTTGTGTCGCCGAGTTCAAGTCTACTTCGATCGCATCTTGCAGCGCCACTAATATAAATTAGCAAAGAAATATCCAGAATGTTCAAGTAAACATGCGCAAGGTACCGAGCGTTCGAGCTTCGACTAGGCGCTGTCGGTTGAGTAGTGATTTGTGATGTCATTTTCTCAATGCTCCCCTCGCTCTCGTTCCTGACACTAGATGGCGCTAGTTGACTTATTCATGCAACAATATGTTAGAGACGCCCACAGAGAGGCTCGTGCAGCTTTTCAAATCTGGCATATGTTTGGTAAACCATGCGCCGGAAATGTTTACAATAATATGTGTAATACTAGACGTAATTTTAAAGCAAAGTTAAAATGGTGTCAAGATAATGTAGAGCAAATTAAAATGGATAAAATGGCATCATGTCATGCTAAAGGAAATTTTAAAGAATTCTGGAAGCATACTAGTAGTTTAAATCGTCGCTCGAGCTTCCCTGCTAGTGTCTCAGGTGTTAGCGGAGCTAGTGAGATAGCAAATCTTTTCAAAAATTATTTTAAAGTTGCATCTCCCCTAGGCCCCTCAACGCAATCGATAGATGGGCAATGTCAGCAATCGGCGATCAGTGTAAGAATCACAGTAAATCAAATAGATGCTATTATTAAAAATATGAAGCATGAAAAATCTCCAGGACATGACAGGCTCAGTATTGAGCATTTGATGTATGCAGGTATTCATTTACCAAGAGTGCTGGCATTGGTTTTTAATCTTTGTTTATCGCATATGCATTTGCCAGCAAACCTTATGAAGACTTTGGTGGTACCGATTATAAAAAATAAAACGGGGAACGCGGCAGACGTGTCTAATTACAGGCCGATATCACTAGCTACCGTAATCGCGAAAGTGCTTGACAGTCTGCTTGATAAATATCTGCAGAAACACATCTCCTTGCATGATGCACAATTTGGTTTTCGACAGAAACTATCAACAGAGAGTGCAATTTTCTGTCTCAAGCAGACGGTCAAGTACTACACGACCAGAAGAACCCTGTGTATGCATGCTTCTTGGATTTATCCAAAGCATTCGATTTGGTGTCTTATAGGGTATTATGGCGAAAGCTGCGAGAAGAGACTGACATACCTGAAGAGATTATCACTATGTTCCAATTTTGGTACTCACATCAAACGAATTACGTTAGATGGGGCACAGGTATGTCAGATGAATACGGTTTAGAGTGTGGGGTAAGGCAGGGCGGATTAAGCTCTCCTACCTTATTTAATTTATATATTAATGGGTTGATCGCTGAGCTCAACAGCACTGGTATTGGGTGTTCAATAAACGGAGTCAATATAAATAACATAAGTTACGCGGACGATATGGTGTTGTTGAGCCCATCGATCAGAGCACTGAGAAAATTAGTGAAAATTTGTGAATCATATGCCAGTACTCATGGGCTTATATACAACACAAAAAAGAGCTAATGATTTTTGGTGCAGACGCTAAGAGAAGAGCTAACTTACCGCCTGTAATTTTGTGTGGGTCAGTTATAAAAAGAGTACCTCAGTTTAAGTACCTGGGGCACTGGCTCACTGAAAACATGAGCGATGACTGTGATATTGAGAGAGAACGCAGAGCACTGGCAGTACGTTGCAACATGCTGACTCGCAGATTCACCAAGTCCTCTAGACAGGTTAAAATAATGCTTTTCAAAGCATTCTGTCAAACTTTTTATACGTGTAGCATGTGGGTTGGGTACACGCAGCGGACGTATAGGGCACTGCGCGTGCAATATAACAAAGCGTTTAGCATTTTGATGGGACTAGCACGTCACTGTAGTGCATCTACTATGTTCGCGGAGGCACGTATCGATGACTTTTACGCTGTAGTGCGAAGAATATGCGCCACGCTTCTTTTTTCGTATTAGAGACTCTTCTAATAGCATCTTAACCACCTTAGCCGATAGGTGGGACTCTCCGCTTTTAAGACACTGGATCCGCATTCACATACATAAGAATTAAAATGTAAATTTAAGTAATTATAATAAAATGTATTTTTTTTTAATATAAGTATGTTTTAGTAATTATGGATCAAATATCCCGCGGCCCTTCGCCGACCCACAAAAACAGACAGACTCTGTAGTAGAATCTCTAAACCTAGTGTATAACACTCTCAATAGGATCAATTTAGATGAAATCCTTGTCCTTGCGCGTAAACTGCGCACAGCTCAGTCCCCTCAGGACCGTCTCCTTGCTCTTACTGAGCACATCAACCTTCTAAGGTCTTTGTAATTAAACTATGCCGGAGCCCTCTGCTCCCGCAATATCTCACGATCGTATCAAACCAAAAGGTTTGTCGCTTGTTTCATTCAATATCCGCGGTCTGCGAAATAACCTCCCAGAGCTTAGGCTATTTCTTCGAGATCGCGAAGCCGATCTCCTCCTCCTACAGGAGACCCATCTCAGCCCCAAGGTCTCTAAAGGCCTTACTATTAAAAATTATTCACTTCTACGTAACGATAGACCCGACCGCAAAGGCGGTGAAGTTAAAATGTATGATTTTTTTCTTAGATTTTTAAGCAATTTAACTAACAACGATTCTATAATAATGTTATGTTACTAACCAATTTATGGACTCTTGTCTGAAATAAAGATTATTATTATTATAAATGTTACATACTTTATTTTAGGTTTAAGGAAACATTTAGGTATTCAAGCTTATTTTATTCTACATAAAAAATTCGGCATTTTTTTTTTGTTTGAAACTAATCACACTTTCTATATCAATTATATTTTCAATATTAAATAAAGAAGAGACAATATCGTCCTCTGTGTTTCTGAATTGCTCTATAAAAGATCGTAAAAATCTCTATAAAAACTAATGATACAAATAAGTTACTGTTACTTAGAACTTGGTGTATTGTTTACATTTGAAGCCATTTGATAAACCCGTGTAAGCAATAACAATGGTCTACAGGGGACCTTTATTGTTTGCACATCATTCATTTAAAATTACTCTTTGATAGATGAATGAAGTTGCAACTTGCAAGGTCATCTTTGTTACAACTTTGAGTTACTGAGGTGCGACGCCCAAATTATTCGTTTATGTTATAGAGGGTTTGTATTTTAAGTAAAAGAGGTTTTGGACTCCTAGCGGAAGGGAACACATAGTTTTATGAATTTATAGAGGTTATTACGTTATCGAGGTTTAAGTTATCAAAGTTCTACTGTATTAGCGACCGTAGAAAATCATGTTGCGTAACCCTGGTGGTACTTTAAATCTAGATGCTGGATTTTAAATAGTATAGTTGAACGTTATGCTTTAAATTCTTTGTAGATTAGCTTCGAAAAATGTTCACTGCGACCTCGTTCGACTCCTGACAAAACGCCATCGCCGCCAAGCCCGATGGAGTCCAAAGTGTCGGCGGCCTCACCGCGCCGTATCATCCGTGTTGCGGAGCGCAGCGCCCTTCGCAACGAGGAAAGACTGAGGAACGAACTGCGCGCGGAATTTCAAAATGCTAGGCGACAAAGCCTCGATGCTCTGCTGTATGACACCGGGGAACGGGTTAAGGAGATGTTCCAAGGTGAGTACTGGACATTAATAACCTATTTATTTATTAAAAAAAATGTACATGTTTTCAAGAAAATAACTGCCTTATCTATTTATTCTATTTAGCTTTCGTCGACTTTTTCAAGAGCGTGTATTTCACTAAATTGAGTGGAAGTTTTTAAGTGCTACAGCCAATATTTTAATGCACCGTGGCTATTTCCCATTAAAATATCATTTTACTGCCATTATTTGTCATCCGGCTCGGAGGGCCAAATTGATTCTCAAACTCGCACTGAATTTAAAACGAGCACAATTGCGCTGTTTAAAATATGTATTACAACGATAATACGCAAGGTTATAGAAAATCATTTTCTTTGATTTTATTCTTTACTAGCTGTTCCGCGCGACTTCGTCTACGTGGAATTAACTACGATTGTGCTTCATATGTTTTAATTTTTTGTGCGGAACCCTAATTCTTTTTCTATAATAAAAATAATTAGAGTAAAAGGAAGTGACTTATTATAACATCAGATAACTGCCAGTCAAAGTCTCATCAAAATCAGTCCAGCCATTTCCGAGATTAGCCAGAGCAAATAGACAGACAGACGGCCAGACTAATGTTTTTTTTTTGTTATAAGTAAGGTCTGCCAGACCGAATTTCGGTCACGGCGGCCTGCCTCAACGGAAACTAACCATCGGCGCAGGACAGGATTATAGTGCTCAATTGTATGCGCAAGCACAGGTGCACTCTCTATTCCTTCACTCTCGTAATCCGATGATACGGTAAACCGACACGACCGGAAAGAGATCAGGAGCAGGACCGCTAACTTCCTGACTCCGGGCAGCTGCCGAGTAGCTACTGAGAATTTATTGACGAGAAAATTCAATAACTGATTTTTTGGCTCGACCTGGGATTCGAACCCGGGATCTCATGATCAGCAGTCGCACTATTGCAACCACTATACCAACGATGCAGTATAAGTACCGTTTTGACGATGATGATGATGATTTTGACATTACAAACAGACACTTTAATTTTATTTATTTGTGTAGGTGAGCCTTTTCAATCCGCTGCTAGATATAGACCTTATAAATATTATGATAATATATAATAGTAATGGTGAAGGATTCACAGATCTGATACCTTCGCAGTTCTAGTTGAGAAAATAGAACCGCTTTTCGGTCGGCATAAACTCATTGGTACAAGTATATTATTAATATTGGTGGTGGGTAGTTGAGAAAATTTCGTAAGGGTGGTGTAAAGATATTGATTACTCTATATCATCTTTTAAGTGCCATAAGCGATGGCAAAGGGTAAATATACACAGAGATGTTCAGCAGCATTTTGATCCCAACAGCTGAATTAAAATAATAAACTGCAGTTGCAGTTTATATATATAAATATATTGCCTTTTTTAAATATATCATTATAATTTAAATACATACATGATTAATAATGATCCAGTCCAATGATTGTAAACGGTTTGTATGAATCTGAGCTGTGGTCCTTCACTGCTGGTCGCTCAAGGTCGGAGAGGGCTAAGCTTGGGGTTTCTCTGTGTGATAGGATTAAAAATGAGGATATCCACAGGAGAACCAGAGTAACTGACATAACCAAACAGATTAGTGAAGTGAAGAAGTGGCAATGGGCCGGCCGTATAGCTTGAAGAACCGACAACCGTGGAAGAAAGGTTTTTGAGTGGCAGTCTCGTACCGGTAGACGAAGTGTAGGGCATGCTGGAAGTCGATAGATGCAGGTGTTTCACCGTACTTTATGGAGGCCTATGTTCAGCTGTGGACTTGTGAAGGCTTTAATGAGTGAAAAAAGTAGTTTGTTCAACCTTATTTATTGTATTTACTTTGATTACTTTTAAAAAAAGTTCCGCTGGGCTTCTTGCTGGTTCTTCCCAGGACAGAGTTTTTTTTTCTGAACCAGTTCTAAAAGTACTTCCTATTTGTTTTAATCCACATTGAATCCTTTTTATTAATATCAAGTGTTGATATACCCTCGCAGGTTTGTCTCTGTTTGGCGATCGTAGAGGTTCAGGTTCTGCGCCGCGAACACCCCGGCGTCGGTCGCCCACTGCTTCTTCCGCGTCGTCCGACCGTCACTCAGACACCGACAGCATACCCAGGTAAGTCCATTGTATTGTTGTATCCCACCGCTGGGCTGGACACGGCTCCACTCTCCCACTCAGCTATGCCGAACGCCATACAATGAGAGCTTATAATATTTCGTTCACTAGATGTCGCTAGTAAGGATTAAGGTGAAGTTTTTTTTAATTTTAATTTTAATTTATCGGTTTCTAGAGTATTAGATAAATAAACAATACAACCCCTGATTGGTTTGTTCCTTAATGATTTTTGCTTTGTTTGTTTCTTAATTTTTTTACTTTTAGGAATATTTGTCATTTGGTTTATTAATTTCTAATCGAATGAATATAAAATATAACTAATATTACAAAAAGAAACATTAATCCTTACATTTTCTTACAAATTAATATCCCAGCCAAGTAATTTCTCAAATATTTCACCTCGTTCCTCACTCGCGCTGATCTGGAGGCAAAAGAAGTCTGGATGCTCTTACTGCCAGTGATGATACGTTTGCTTTTTTATATCTACTTTTTATCATTTTTGTTAATCTGTGGCATTTCATTATAATTCTAAGTAATGTAGATAGTAATTTAATTATATTATGATAATGTTGCTACAGCGTGGAAATGCTGACCGATGACCAGATAGCGTCGTTGATGCTGGACGCTCAGCTTGAAGCGGTTTGCGAGCGGCTAGCCGGCGTCGCAGTCAAACAGCCGAGATCACCTCACTCTCCTGTACCGCGATTTTGAATCTTAAACTCTAGACATTAAGGTTGAATTTCAAATAGCAAGCGATATGGAGATTGTGATACAATTGTATTTCCTATAAATGCTATTATGAACTCTAACTGTGTTGTACGTATTGAGATTGAATAGAAACAAGTCGGTGTAAACAACTTTGAAATCTTATGTGTTATTAATAATAAGATTCAATTCAGTGATTATGCATTTATTAAAAAGTAAATATTAATATGTTCTTTGAACATAATAATTATTAGGTTTTATTAAATTTTAAAATATTTAATTTTAAAGTTATTTATCATTTACTCATACTTTTTTGTTACCCTTTAATTCAAAATAATGGTTCTCTCTCAAATTTTAAACATCTAAAATTTAAAAGTTCAATAGAAATATATTTAAACTACTAAACATCTTTGAGTATAATGATTCAATAAGCAGAGCTAATACATTTTGAACAAAGATTCTACAGTAAAAATCTAATACCACTAATACCACGTGATATTATTAAAGTTAGTAGTATATTAAGTCTTAATTACTAAATAATAAGGTAGATATTCACGTAATACGTAACAAAAATGCAATGAAAACTAGTGGCCTGTTTTGCTAAGTAAGTAATTAAAGCAAAAACACTAGGCCTGAGCTAGAAATGCTATTAGTGTTTTGTCTTTCTCGATTGAATCGTAATGTTATAGAAATAAGAGTTATTTGTCTAATTGATAATTGCGAAGAATCCTACATAGCAATACCAGCTAGTTATAAGAATAAATTTTTAAAGTTATATTATTTAATAAAATATTTATTTAAAGTACAATATAGAACTATAAGTTTAACAGTATTATTTATCCTTTTTGAAATTGCATAATGATTTTTCTTTATTTATTATATATTAAAGGATAAAGGATATTTAATTTTATTAAAAGATGCATTTTAACTTTTTTTTTATATTTTAAAATTAATACTTGAGAAGATATCTGGTACACAGATAGTCTATACAAATGTATTTCTCTATTCTACCTAGATTATGACACTATAGCACATACTTTTACGATCAATATATCTACCACGCCTCCTTTTATATTTAAAACTGTTATACCGCCATACTTTGTCATCCAGCAAACCGATTTAGTGATTATAAAAATAAAAGAACAACATACAGATATATAAATAGCGGTGCGAGTTGTGAGCACCAAGTGACAGTATTTACGCATATGTTCATATACCAGTCAATATAATGCAGGTGAATTGCACTGGAACAGCCAATGAATGATAAATATTGGATAACGGACCAATCACGTGAAAGGCCTCCCTCCGCACCCTTGTACTTCACCGAAGAGACCTATAAATCGACTAATGCGCATGCCAAAACTATGTTCACGACTGATGCCGCTGCGTATATTAACAATTCTTCTTATGTTTTTATATAAAACAAATCAATCCAGTTTTGAAAGAGGGAACAGGGGAATATAGGATCATGATTTCGTCAATTTTTCATAGGTATAATGAGGCCGAGCTGCAGTTCTCAGTTGCCTAGCCCTATAACCTATTCTTCTTGTCAACTAATCTCTACTAACTATAATACAAGTAGCGGCACGTAAGTCTAGCGCTGAACGAAACGTGGAGGGGATAGCTGCGCATGTACCAGTACGAGGGACGGAATGCGAGTGGAGAGCCAATCAGCGCGTGCGAATGATACGCACGTCCGCACCGCGATCCGCTTACTACCTACCACATGATGATACCTTTATTTTCGACTAATACGCAATAACGGTCACCGCTAGACTTTCGTGTCGCTACTTATACTTGTTGCAGCTGAAAATAGTTTACGGGTGCTTACTGAAACTTTTATAAACATTTGTTTGGTTTGGTAGGCTTCGCGGGTTATAAATATTAGCGGCATAGACTACCAACAACATAGTAAAATAAATAAATAAATAGAATGAGCATATTTGGACTTGTCAAAAATGTCGATGTTTACAGCATCGGAAATACGATTTTAGTTACTTGTGCAATCAAGTTATAAAGGGAGTGTATAATGTCTTAATCACTACGGTTCCCACGTATTTAATTGTAGATAATATTTAAAAGACATAGATAGACATAAAAATAATCCCTATATCGTATCTAATATTATAAAGAACAACATAAAACTTAAATTTGGAAATCAAAAAATCTTATATGCATCTCATTGGAGATTTGATCCAAGTTTCTCAGAAGTTATAAAAAAAACCAGTGAGTAGATCATTAGATTATACGCTGATAAACTATGTCTACCTCAGTAATAATTTCTTTAAATATTGAAATTGTAAAAGTGTTATAACACTACGCCAAAAGTGCCATTTTATCATCGGAAGTGTAGAGAAATGCTATAATTTGAAAGTTTCGATGTGAACTTGTATATTTTGTCATTCGCTTTCGCGTTACATCAGAGGTCAAAGGGAAAAAGTTAACGGAAATTGGCTATATTATTTATAACGCATGTGCAAAAGTTCAATATTGGTATGTTTAATGGTTTATAATATTGAAATGTTAATATATAATTTTAATATCGAAAAAAGTCGGGGAATGCAATAACTAAATAATCATTTTCACTTCAATAATTTTTTTCTGGGGAAAAAAGTAACGTGTGATGGCTACAAATATAATGGGAAAATAGTTGACTTAGAAATAAGTTGGGATATTTCCAGCAATTTAGGAGTTGTACATTGGGGAAGTATATATCAAAGATAGCTCATGACTTCTAATTTATATCACAGTGTTGGATGCAAAGATTTAACGAACAGGCCGTTGCAATCATATCATTCTCAGTACCAAAATTCATAAATAAAATTACAACAAAAACAACTTAATACTAATTGAAAATGGATAATTATAAATATACTTATGAGGAATATGATACATAACTTTGTATAATTTATAGTTCAAGAATTCTAGGTTTCTAGATAGCAATGTGTGGTAAAGTTGGCAAAATAAATGGAATATTTTTATCTATCGATATGTGTACGTTACAGCGCGAAAGTAAATTCGATCCACTCTCCCTACCCCACCCGGGTGAGCGTCATCACTCCGCGTCCAAGAAAGTGGAAAGTTAGTAACATATATCTTGGCGGTAAAGTGGTAAATTTTTGAGGAAATTTTGAACAAAAAAATTGATAAATGATTAAAAAAAACATATTTCGTGGTAAATTGTGTTGAAATTACAAATGATATCGCTTTCGTATGTATAAGAGGTTGATAAAAAAATTATTAAGGATCATTTCGCACCTACGCACTTTTCATGTATCGTGTATGGCGGGGTGAGACGCTCACCCGGGAGGGGAAGTAAATATGCCGAAATATAAAATTACTTCATTAATTTTGTCAATTTTTTAGCTAAAATGATAGAACTATTCATGATTATTTAATTTTCTTTTTTACAATCCATTTTGCAGTATGATTTAGAATGTCTTCCAAAATGTTTCAAAACGATTTAAAAATCGTTGTAACACATATAAAATCTATATTTGTTCTTTTAAACATTGAAAACTGTTCTTAAAACTGTTAATTTAATCGATGCCTTTGTATACGTCTCCATTGCCCAATTTTATTTAATACTAATTATAACTTTAGTAATAGGTCATAAAAGGATTGTATTGTTTATAACAACTAAATCCAATAATGAATAAGTAATATTGTCCATCCAAAACTGTAATATCATATTTAATACGAACTCAATTCCTTATTAATTATAGTACAAATAATAAATGTGAGACGTATTCAAAGTGTCATATTAAATAAATATGAAATAATAATTCATAAATAAATAAACTGTTATTTATTAAATAAGGCAATTAATAATTAATGTAGATTTTAGATAGCGTTGGTTGTTAAATATGCTTGATTTGATTTTTTTGCACCAGCGATTTTAAAAAATGTAAGAGTTATTAAGGCATACACATAACTTCAAAATTATGGTATTGTAACAAAAGTCGAAGTGAAATATTATTTATTAAAATAAATTAACAAAAATCATGTATGTGATATTCTTGTAGAGGATTGACGAGATTTGTAAATACTGTTTTCTTTCGAATTTTACTGCCATTTAGAAATTTGTGATCATTGGAGTCTGAATGTTGTTGTACATTGTTAGCTTCACATTTAATCATCATTTAACGAATGACTTATTAATGTATGTTATAATGTAAGAATCGTAATTTTTCGTAAATCTTTCTTTCGACTTAGAAAGGCTTATTTTGAAGCCTCAGACCAACTAAGAAAGATAGAAGAAAGGCTCCGTACATTTTAAGTGACGAAACTATGCTCAACTTCTTGACATGCACACACACACATCTTTCTTTCTTCAACGGTCCTTAAAAGTTCTCTGTTAGACAAACCTATGCATCAAAATAATTTTGTTGGTAGCGAACGTTTTTAGATGCATATGCGTGCTTGAGTGCGTGTAGTTACAATGAGTTGAGCATGGTTTCAGCTTAGCGACGTCACTTAAAATGTACGCAGCACTCCATCTTTGTTGTGTTTGAGTGATGAGTTTGAAGCCATAAAGAGACGAACTTCGGCTATTTAATTATTTCTTACTCTTCTGCCGCCAATGAATAGAGAGTGTTCTCATACAGTATTGTAGGATAACCATAATACATGTCCAATAAAACTGGATACTTTCTAATTTCATCTCAAGACATTCATATTTTGAATTTTTTATTTAAATTATTGTATTTAATTTTAAACGTTTTTATTTAATTTAAAACGTTACCTCCACACTAGGATTTTCTCCTGTATCGTGGGGGTATTTTACAAACGTAAATTACACAAGGACAAACATCCAGACCCGGAACAATTAATTGTAGGCCATCCAAATACTTGCTCCGTGCGGGATTCGAACCCGCGGCCCTCAGCGCTGTAACTCATTGCTAAGCCACTACGCCACGGAACCGCCAATGAAAAAAATTGTATGATATTCTTTTACAGATTTTAATTGCATTTCAATTTATATATACTAAAACATACAATCATTG